GCTGTGAATATGACGTTGTCGTTGGTTGTTGATAATTTTTTACTAAACTTAATTGACAATTTTTTACTTACAATTCAGTTTCTGAACACGAACCCATAAGTGCATTTAAAAAGCAGCTAACTGTATAAATTAGAAAAACAAAGGTGATTTTTAGGTTTTGAACGAGAAAACTTTTCAGTTTCAAGTTTTCGTCAAAACTGAACAAGCGAGACAAGGCATTTAGTTCTACCGAGTGTGACACACGCAAACGTAAGCTGAAGGCTACAATGTCCAAAATACTCTGCATATATTTAATATTAATCAATTCAATATTATATACGCAACGACTGAAAACAAGATCAACAGTTTATATTTGTAAACAAATTTCCACATAATTTCCACACGAGGTAACACAAAAAATACTTTTTCCATATCAAGGGTTGGCAACGAAAATTTGTTTGCTTTTTTGAAGAGACTATTGAAATAAAACGTTAAAACAATTGTTACTGCCTTTTCATATCTTGCTTAATTCCTTAAATATTTTGATCGAAATCAGCATAAATTGGTGAGTCGTCCGCCATCTTGGATAATTTTCGACATGCATACGTCACCAACAGGGTCACGCAAAGTTTTTATCTCGACATCTATTGCTCAATGTGTGCCCAAACGTCGACTTTGGGACCTATTTTAAATTTCGAGGAGACTCAACCTATTTTAAATAAGTAAATATCGCTATTCAGTCACCTATAAACGAGTAGTTTTAGAAGAGAACTTACAGACTATACTCTATAGCCCTGATATTGACGTCACAAGAACCATAGTTAATCAGGTCAAAAATTAATCCACAAAAGCAATTTTTTGCTTTCCGTAGCCGACTACATTACCAGACAAATATCTATTCTCTAATCTAATAACACAGAAATTTCTCGTGGCAAAATACGAACGGTACAAATGAAGGCGGCGGCATTGACATGCAGTGATTAGGGCTGATGATTGAGCTTCCGTCCACACTAATCCGTTTTCGTGAATATATCCTTTGGTTATTTATCGATATTTCGAAAACGCATACTGCAAGTATCTGCGTCCACAGTGACACTAGCGTTTTTGGATAATTTTTGCCGTCCACACTATCACTTATCCTTTATATTATATGATCGATGACAGTGCATCCGTTTTCCATCGTATTAGTGTGGACAATCGATGAATTAAAACGCATACAAAAGTATGCGTTTTCTCATGTGCCACACTCAAACAAATGTCATACCCATTCTCGGTATAGTGTGCACTATCGGCGATAAATTCTTAAGAATATGTTCTGCTAAAACCGCCGGCTGTGTATTGCAAGAATCAAAACTCCAGTGACAGGAGCTTTAAAGCTTATAAGCAACTATATCGTTGTGCCACGTTGTGTCATACAAAACGGTATCACAATGACGACAATGAGAGTTCATGCATGTCTACTGGACCTACTGCTGATAGCCAACGCAACCAGAATTTCAGGCATGTCCAGCCTGTAATTTCTCTAGATAATTTTGGATATATTTTTGTTATCTAAATATTTCTATCTCAGTTTCAGGTATCTATGCTCCCCCCAGAGTTTCCACATAGCTACAGTATATACAAACAAATACCTATATAATATACTATTTCATTCTATTTCATTCCAATGCAAGTCGTGATTTTCAGCGATCAATTATTACAATTTTGGCACACGTGCAGTTTTCATGCATTTTTTCGTGCACAGTTCCCGATACCCTGAGGGTCAAGTATCGGTTTTAGGGAGGTGACCATGCACTTACTGACAGACAGCTTTATGTACTTGTTGACTAGGTATTGCAAAACGTATACAGTCTTTAATTATAAACTGTAATGTATAGATATCATGCACATATCGTAGGAATAGTTACTCCAAAATTTCCACTGGCATATGGGATCTGCAGGTAGTAAAAATTTGAATTAAACCGGCCAAGCTATACTGTTATTACTGTATTTGTCACATTAATAATTCATTAAGAAAATTCAAATGAAATCAACGTTTAATGAAGTGTTGTACCCACAATACATATATACAAAATTCTCCTGATTTGCATAAGTCTTTCCTCGATTTTTCCAGTTAAAATCACTTCTTTTTGCTAATAATTTCTCAAAAAAAACCCTATTCGAATCATATACAACCTCTCGAGTTTGCATGTATATATGATTATATGTTACAACATGGCTACTCGTGCATGAATACCTTTTCGAGTATGTGATAATTCGGAACAGATCTAGTTCCTTCGATACAATATTATCTAATAATAATCATGATTTTTTCTGTGTTGGTGTAATGTACTCAGGTGAATATGATGCTTGTGATGTTACTCTGAGTGTATATCCACACCGGGCAAGCTTGAAAAATATGCCTGGCCACGGTGGGAATCGAACCTACGACCTTTGGAATACTAGCCCAATGCTCTGCCAACTGAGCTACGCGGTCTGGTCGGTTCGAGTATGTGATAATTCGGAACAGAATCTAGTTCCAATGTTATCTAATAATAATCATGATTTTTTCATGAATAATAGTTCATACTTTTCAAATTAAAATATTACGAATTTAGCACTATAAACCGACTCATTTTGCAAACGTCGCATTAAATATATTCATTTAATATATGTATATAAATGCTAGTAAATGCTAGTATATGTATATAAATGATCTGCTCTGATCAATGCAACTATCCTATTTTTTCCATCATTATAAAATTATCGTATAAAATTTGTCTCTTCATTAAATACTAAAGTAAAAGCTTTTTTGAAGAGATTTAAGAGCTCTCTTACATAAGAAGTGAAATAATGTCTCTCTTTATACTTTGATTGGATAAGCTCTCTTACCAGGTGATCTCGGAACTTGGAAAAAGCCTGGCACTAGCTGTAGAATAGAAATCCATTTCTGGTTTAAAATTACTCATTATCTCATTAACGGTATTAGATTTCTATCAAGAATTTTTCCCATATAATCATTTCCCTGTGCAAGACACAGATACAAAGTTTCAAACAGTTTCACAAAAGAATCAGGGCGTGGCAAGTGATCAAAGATACGAAACTGGATTTCTATTCTGTTGCTAGTCCCAGTCCTTTTGCTCAAAGTCAGATCACCTGGTAAATAGACTAAAATCTCTCTCGAATAGAACAACAAATTATTAAATACAATTTTCGTTAAATCATTAAAGCTCCGCCATACAAAGAAAAATCATACTCTCTCATAAAACACTGAAAATTCCATCCTTTCTAAGAGAATTGAGTTTTAACTTCTTCCATTTGCATTGCATTGCATTGCATTGATAGTTTCCAATCCTTGCTATAGACTAGGCAGTAAAAACCCAGAAACTACAAGGGACAAACCCGTTAACGATCACACACACACTATATAAATATATATAAGCATAAATATATATATACATATAAAATTAAGTATACAACGACTCAACAAACTCTATGCATAAGTTCTTTGTATGTTTGCATGGCGATAAAATATAATAGTTTTGTTATTATTATTATAGTAGCACTGATGAAGATCCGGGCTTACGGATCGAAAGCTTTGCAGTAATCAAATTTACGTGGTGTTTCCACAAACAAAACTATTAAACTCCATGCACTATGCATCTTTGTGCTCAGTGGACATCCATTTTATAAATTAACGATATATGTATAGTTAACAAAGCGTGGTCATCTGCAAGTAATTAATAATTATGCTTGGTTTGCTGGCAATTATAGCCTCCACCTACTCATCAAAACCGATTATAAAAAAAATTAAACGTTTTGGCTAGGTGCATGTCCAAGTTGTTTAATTCGCTGCCAGAAAGTGCGGGAAATGGCATTTTTAAACTCAACTTTCCCAATTTTCCCGAAGGAAAACCGCCCCCTCCCTATATATACATTTTAGACCCCAGTGTTGAAGATTTTTACTCGTTGGGACGTTTAGACGTTTGATGCTATACATACAGCAGTACTTTACAAAATCTATTATACTGGATGAATTATACTGGAGATATAAACTTTGTTTTCCCGTATTTACTCCTAATAGTTTGGCAGACATTTCTCCTGCCATTTTCGTAGATTCGCGCATGCGCTTTGGGTTTGACCGCGGTTGAGGAAATCCTGCGTTAGCAAATTAGAGAGCGTGCGACCTCGTACGGATTCTTAAAGTATTTTTTCACCACTGCGCCACCGTGTTCTGTCTCATATGAATTCCGGTTTGAGTTAAAGGAGTGCATGAGTCCACGTTTTGCGGTGCCCTACCAAAGATTTACCTTTCGTGCTATCTTTATGCAATATTAAGATCTAGGAGATAAAGTGATTGGACACATCACTGAATGTGCGTCACTGTTTATCCTACATGACGTCAATAGATTCTTCATATTAATGGCGTGAATTCAAAGACACGAAAAAGCACTTCTCATAAAAAAACGCTCTGTTGGCAGTCTACCGGCGCTTCCATTACGCCCTGAAGTATTTACAAACGCGGGTAGCAAATACAACGCAAAAATGTGCCCTTGTTTTTGTGGTATAATATTGATATTGGTAGAAGGCGTTCCGAAAGGGTGGGGCCAAGGAATGAACGCCATTTTTGGTGACGTGATCACAAAGAGCTTTGGCTGCTTATCAGTCAATTAGTCGCCTCGCTATGCTTGGATGTTTAAAATGTCAAGATTACCCCAACAGCCAAAATTACACAATTCCCCACGACTGTCAAATTGTGCGTTTTAACCGGGACTCCCAGCTACAAGCCTTCGCACAATAAGAAAGCCATTTCACTATAGTGTTAGAAGGAACTTAGACTTGATATTTCGATGCACTTGAGTTCTCAACGGGAGTTCTGAGCTCGATACAGGTCTTTGTCCACGCTCTTTATGGATGGAAAATAAATTTGACACGCTTTGCATATTGATAGAGCAATCAATTAAGCTAGATGGTTTGCGTGGTAATTGCATGAAAAAATGCATTAACATGAACACGCTATAAGGGTATCTTAGGTATTTCATTATCAAATCAAATAATCAAAAAACACGACACAGCGCACGAGCGCTTATAATCTCATAGCTCGCGTGAGAATTCGTATATACGTCACGTTATCCCTATAAGCTCATCGAATTAACTGGTTCAATCAAGGTTCTGTAAAACTTCACAATCACTGCTCCTAGGAATTATTAATCTGATCTTGCGAACATTCTCTCATCGAAAGTCAGCACTGTATACTCATGGAAGAATTTGCAAGTTTAGCAGGTACACATAATGAATTGTAATCGTTATATTACTAGTCGTGTCTTACTTGATGCGCTGCACTTCAGGTGATCGCAAAATTATTGACGAAAACTATGCCTATGGATCGGAACGAATTGCAACTTTAGTTTAGCAAATACATAGTAAACTATTACCGTATGGCTATAGCCATAGGTTGGCTTGCCTGGTCTCTCTTTCTAAGTGGAATCGTAAGTTGATTCCACTGGGGTTAAACTGATTGCATGTTTACATATAGTGAAGATTTTCGGGTAAGGCAAATTTATCATACTAGCTACTTGTTCCACGTTTAGTGGCACTGAGCTCTCCAAATCTCCGACATTTCGTAGTGGACCAAACACGCTTATGGAATTATAATCGTTGTAAAATGTAAATATTCTAATTGTGTTTCAATTTAACCGCATAATTGATACACCAAACTTAATATCGCGATCATAAGAAATACCAATTGGTACTTATATACAACACCGACCGATAAATTTGCAACGTACTGTAGAAAGTAAAAAATGAACTGTCATCGTTCTATTTTACTGATCGGGCATTCCATCATTCAATTTACATCAAAATTGATACATCAAATGTATTATGGTGCATGATCATAAAATTTGCAGAATTGGCATTTACAACTGTGCTATTGATACTTATAATATGTTATTCCAATTTATACTACAATAAAAATCATTGAATGATCGAAATGATCACAGAATGACTAAAATAACACAATATTTATAACATTGACAGATTTGCAACTTTAGCGGGTGACTAACACACTAGTTTAGTATCGTTTTATTATTAATTGTGTTTCAATTTATAACATAATTGATACCGCATCAAACTTAAGATGAACACAAAATTACTAAAATAAACCAATATTTACAACATCGACAAATTTGCGGCAACTTTAACGGGCGAGTAATACGCTAGCATCGTCATATTATTATTAATTGTGTTTCAACTTATAACATAATCGATACATAAAACTTGAGATGATCATAAAATTACTCAGTATAGAATAAAACAATATTTATAACATCGACAAATTTGCAATTTTCGGTGGGCGACTTAGCCTATATACTATATATACTATATATACTATCGTGATACTATTAATTGTGTTTCAGTTTATAGATAATTGATCAACAAACATGATCAAACAATTACTAAAAGATATAAAACAATACTTATAACATGAACGAATTTCCAAGCCGTTATATTTATTGTGATTATAAATCATTTGGCTGATGAATTAAACTTCGCCTTCGGTGATGAATGAATTACGAAAACATTTTTTACCCCAGTATGGGGTTAAATTAATGTGTTTACCTAAAATATTGCAACTGTTTGTATTCTATTCAAAACAATGCAATATTTGAAATTTCCAACCGCGATAAGCATTGGTGGCGTTGAGTCGATGTGAGTATATAATAGTGGATTATCACTGAACAGAAGTAGCTTATAAATTATGGTTGGAGTTTGGTCAGTTCGGCGTGAATAGTAGTTTCATCAAGCCCATGCAGGGGTACAGCTTATGTATATGTAGAGTTATTCTCTAATTTTACATAAATTAATCATCTCAGTAAACTTACTACACAGTATTAGAATGAAAGCTATACCAACGGCACGATACGGTGTCGTTGATGGCGATGCTGCTGGCCTTTTACAGTTTGCATGAATGGTTTCATTTGAGATAAATACGCCACTGTAAATGCATTATTTTATACGGTAAATAAATGTTACAATAAAATATGGTTCGCAGAAAGCACTAGAACAATGGTTTTTGCCGAACGATGTCTTGCATGCACAGTTGCGGCAACTGATTTTGCTCATTGACATCGTATAATCTTAAAATAATTATAAACAAAATCATGACCATATAATTTGAGGTTAACTTTGTACTGAACAGCTCTGTTTGTTCGAAGCGGTAATAATACTAAGGTCTTGCCGTCACGCGGGAGTACTATGTTACGCACTATTGAATCAAAGCAATTAAACCACTGTTAAATAAACTAGTGATCGACTGGAGCTCTATATTGAAGTAAACCTGCAAATTTCACGTCGTGTATACGTTTTTATTTAGTTTTTAATTAAACGTTTGCCATCCAACATAGCGACAGTCAAACAATTACAGCAAGGGCCAACCTATGAGATCAGTGAGAACCTTTCATTGGCCTGCCTTGTATATAGTAGTAATACAGTTAAGGAAAATACCACGTAAAATTTCTTCATTCTGGCAAATTACGATCGAGAAACGTATATATAAAAAAATAGAAATTTGAATGCAGTCATACCCAAGTGGTATATTATACTACAGTACGTGATAACATACAAAAAATCGTCTCTTTACTTTAACCATGCATGCACTGTGCATATTGTATGCAGTTAAAGAAAGGGTGTGTGCTAATCATCCAGTAGATCTAAGCTGAGAGCTAAGCTGAATTGCGAAGGACGCAGTTCAACCTGAACGAGGCTTTCTTAGGGCCTTGTCAGTTGTGACTCACGTCTGATCTCGGAGCACAGCTATGTAAGGGTCTGCTAACCAACACTGCGTGTTAACATTTCCTGTGCGAGGAAACAGGGTACCCGAAGAACTTTTCGTTAGATCGTCGACTGACTCTACTCACATGTCGGCTATAGAGTCCGGGAACGAGAATCACACCTAGGATCTCAGACGTGAAGGCAGTTGCACCGAAGCCCCATAAATCATCCCAATGCAAAATAATTGAAAGTCAGGTAAAATCACTTTTCACTCCATTATTGAAATGCATTTTACACGAAGTTTGCATGTATGAGAGAATAGTGGCGATCTCCGTTTAACTATACATTCTACTAATTTACATCGCTGCAAGAAGGCAATTAGCCTTTCTCACGCTACCATTTTTGGGGTACTGCCTTTTAATCTGATATTAATTTGTACGCAATGAATAAGGGATTTGTATAACTATAGTTGTGAGTATAATCATTACAGTGAAATATTTGAAAAAAATGTTTTCACATCGCTTAGATTTTTCACGTCAAAAAAGTACCCCCAAAATAGTGAATTTGGCCTTCGTGAGAAAGCTAAGCTAATTGTTTTACACAATGAGAACAATTTTGGTTACCCACACTCGTGGTTGTAACCTACTCGCGGTCTGTGTTTGTTTCTAAATATTTCGGGCTGCAAGCATGCTATGGTGGCTGTGGTGTCCTTAACCTTTAACCGTGCATGGGAGACTTCACATCAAATTGTGTCTTTGAAACAGGTTCACATTGTGTATTCGAGAGCCTGTTTTAAACACTTTTAAAATCTTAAAAAACCTAAAAATTAAAATAATTTACATAAATCATTATCTTGTCTCAAAATGACTGAATAGATTATCAAGAAGTGCCATTTGCTTGATCAAATTATTAAAAAGAGCTATTTACTTCATCAAATGATTAAGAAGAGCTGCTTGCTTCATCAAATGAAGAGCAATTTGCTTGATCAAATGATTAAGAAGAACTATTTACTTCATCAAATGATTAAGAAGTACTGCCTGCTTCATCAAATGAAGAGCAATTTGCTTGATCAAATGATTAAGAAGAGCTATTTGCTTTATCAAATGATTAAGAAGATCCATTTGCTCCATCAAATGATTACGGAAAAACTGTTTGCTTGATCAAATTATTAAGAACTATTTGCTTGATCAAATGATTAAGAAGAGCTATTTGCTTCATCAAATGATTAAGAAGATCCATTTGCTCCATCAAATGATTACGGAAAAACTGTTTGCTTGATCAAATGATTAAGAAGAGCTATTTGCTTGATCAAATGATTAAGAAGATCCATTTGCTGAATCTAATGATTAAAAAAAACTGTTTGCTTGATCAAACTATTAAGAAGAGCTATTTGCTCTATCAAATCAATTATCATTTCCATGCACACAATGTAAAACACCCCCCAAACCGAAGTAAGATAGCGTTTCTCTTAATATGACCTATTATTAAACAACGTGCGTCATTCCTTGTGTTCTGCAGCAAGGTGTTCGTGTGCGCTCGTTGTCAAATCGTGTTTCTGATTCCCACGGTATATCTCCGAATTACGGCGATATCAAAACAACCATACCGAGCTTATATATTTATTTGTGTTATTTTATGAATTATTAATGAGTTTGAGAAAACCATTTTTCGAACCGTATTATTTTCCCAACACAAATAAATCGTTGTTA